GCCAGATTTGTTTCTTTCTACTTGTATAATGTTTTTGGCCAGGATTTTTGCTAATGTTATAAAGCTTTTTGCCAGGATTTTTTTTCTTTCTACAGCTATAAAGTTTTTTGGCCCAAATTTTTTTTCATGCTTAATTTGGGCTTTTCTTTTTCCTTTTACATTTGTTTTGTTCTTCATTGGGATTTTGTTTATTAGACACGTTTAGCTCTTTATGAGAATTTTGTTAGTTGGTTCTTTGCCAGTGAGGTAAAATAAACTTGAAACAGACGATGCCCAAGATAGTTGTGTATTTGTTTTGTTTTGTTTGTGTGTCTTTCAGTCTATAAGTCAGGTTATCCTAGTCGATATATAACATCGGGTCTTTGTCAGAGGCCGGGCACAGTTTTGTTTTTGAGTTGCCCATATAGGTTCTGGTGCCCAGTTTCGGGAGGAGCATAACATACTTTTAAAAACAATTTTGGAGAGAAATGTTGAGAGCAAGAGGTGGACACCGGTACAAGTGGGAGGACAACATCAAGAGATGTACGATCAGCAGCCCGAGGGAACGTACAACCAAGACAAGAGACAGAGTTGGAGATCCCTTGCAGCCGACCTTTACTGTGAAGAGGCCACCTCATTGAATGTTTGGGGATGAAAACAGAACAGATCCACTGTCCTTAAAAAGAGTGTTGTTAAAGGTGACTAGTGAAAATCTTTGTTGAAACAGGATGTGTTGGGCCCAGAATGTGCCAGTTGTTGCTGGCTTGTTGTCAACCGTGCCAACCTTCCTTTCCAGAGCAAGTGCAGCAACAACATGTTTCTCAGACAGGTTGTCTGTTATATATCAGTGCAACAACATGTTTCTCAGACAGGTTGTCTGTCATATATCAGTGCAACAACATGTTTCTCAGACAGGTTGTCTGTCATATATCAGTGCAACAACAAGTTTCTCAGACAGGTTGTCATAGATTCTGTTCTTGGCTGTCAGATTTTCATTTGCTGTGTGGATTTTAAGTCCCATGTGAGGGGGGGGGGGGGGGGGGGTTACAAATATACTGCCTCTCACCCCCCTCCCATTCATAAAAGACAGCAAGATTACAGAATTAGAGGAAGCTAGTTGGATGTTTACTTGTCAATCTTCCTTGATGTCCAGATGGATGTTTACTTGTCAATCTCCCTTGATGTTCAGATGGATGTTTACTTGTCAATCTTCCTTGATGTTCAGATAGATGTTTACTTCTCAATCTTCCTTGATGTTCAGATAGATGTTTACTTGTCAATCTTCCTTGATGTCCAGATGGATGTTTACTTGTCAATCTTCCTTGATGTCCAGATGGATGTTTACTTGTCAATCTTCCTTGATGTTCAGATAGATGTTTACTTGTCAATCTTCCTTGATGTTCAAATGGAAGTTTACTTGTCAATCTTCCAACCACATTGGGCCAGGAGTGCAGAGAGTGGCCAGCGCGTGCTACGGAGGTGGATGTCCAACAGTTAAATCATAACAATTTACGCACAAGTGATCTGATTATATATACAGATGGTTCGGTGTTGAGAGGAAAGAAGAGCCCGGGGGTTCGTATCGACAGCCAATGAAAAATCTTTAGTGCAAGACAGCCTAGCATACGACATCACAACATCTAGCATGAGAATGGAGGTAGAGGTGGTAGCTGCAGCTCTCCTGTGGCTAGAGAACAAGATGCATACACATGTCATAATTGTTAACAGACAGAAATCATGCTGAGAAAGGTGAACAGAGGGATGCTTCTAGCAGAGTGGCAAGCTTCACTGGGAATGTCAAGGGTAGTGAGCATACTTTGGATCTTTTCTCCAGGCTATACCGGCGTAGCGGGTAATGAACAGGCAGACAGACTGGCTGGATCTGCACCACTGGTTGGTCTTCTTCTTCGTGTTCACCATCTGTAAACTCTGGCGGAAAGTTCTGTTTGTTCATCCACTTTAGTACTGCAGTCCTCTTCCAGAACCTGAGTGTTGCGTGTGAGATACTAATGGATCGTTCTTGCAGCTACAGGTTTCGTGCTTTGTGCAACTCTATATGGTCACTCTGCAGAGAGAGACCGAGCCATGTGTGATTACCCAGTGACCAGCCGGTCAACGATGACGGATAGACGAGCTGTCTGTCTGTAATCATTGCAAGTTATTTGCTTCTGACTATGGTGAGCCGTTGTATTTTCCCCATATGTGAACTGAAAGTATATACTTTTGTCGCCCAGCACCTGAGTTGATTGCGTGGCGCGACACTGTGAGTTGTAAATTCGGTTTTAAAAATTTCTCGACTATGCCCACCTGTAATGAGGGGAATTTCCACATGGGGTTTCTAGTGACGTGATAAGGTTAAATATGGGTCGAGAGAGAAATACATGAGAGCACGAATAACCACAGAAGCACGAATTGTAGGAAAAGTGCTCAGGTGACTGCACGAGGGACTGAGAACGAGATTGAAAGATTGGACGATGTTCCAGGGCAGTGTGTGATTCACATGTAACGTGAGAGGTTGTGTTTTGTGAGAGCATGAATGCGACATTGTATAACTGAACTGAACAACGTGGAGGAGATTGAATTCAACAAGATGACCGCCTAGCCAGAATCCAGTCAAGTTGACGACTAGCCTCAAGGTGGAGCTGAACAGCCAGCGGCCTGAGATGCTGGTGTGAGACCCATAAATGTGGCGCGATGGAGACTAATGATCGCAAAGGGAGCAAAGGGGAATGACTGTGAACAGCGGTGAGGAACTTTGTCATTGTTACCTGTTGAATATTCGGACATGCTAAATAGCAGCTGACGGTGACTGGACCGGATTGTCTTCTGAGAGTAATAAAAACATAAACTGCTATTGTAACTTCTCAATAGCATCTGCGCGGGACAATTCGTCATGTTTGTTAGCCTTAGTAAAATTCCCTTGGAAACAGCCAGAGCACACAGAGAGAGCAACGTCGCTACACTGTGGTTTTCACCGTGGCTGTCGCTGGCACAGGAAGGAAGCAACTCTGGGCTGACCCGTTTGTCGTAATGTCGGGACTGCGAAAACCTGGACACCCAGTGCTATAAAGTCGCTCCTCTCAACTGTAACTTCAGTTACTGTTCGGTGTTTCCCAATCAAATCGTTCTCCAGTGGATTCCGGCTCACTGCGGCATACCAGGAAATGAGTCAGCAGACAGACTTGCAATAAATGGAACAAATGAAAAACAACACACTCATCTATTGTCATTACCAGAAATCAGAACAATATCAAGGGAAAATACTAGGAATTGTGGAGACAAGAAATTAACAGTAAACATCCACAAGACCCCATCAGCAGATTCAACAGAAAGCAACATTCAACAATTTTCCGTCTACAAACATGTCACTGCAGGCTCACATACATAACATAAAGACTGTACAGTCCCCACAGTGTACCTGTCAAACAGGACCACAAACACCCCATCACATTCTGCAGACCTGCCCACTCTATACACAACTTCGAAAAGACACCTGGCCTCAAGAGCAAAGTGTGCAGAGTTAGCTATGGGGAACCATGAAGGACCTGCTACTGACAAGCCGACATGCGAGTTCATAGAGGCAACACACCTGATGGTCTGATCTGAGCACGTGAAACCGAACGCAAAGAAGAAAAAGTCTGAGTTTCCCATGCTGAACAGACCAATGGAGAGCAACCAGGCAGGGGCGTGCACTGAAAGCTTTCGGATAGATCCAGAACATTCGAAGGCTAAGGGTGAATGCTTGTCAGAAGGCGATGCACGGGACTAAGGGCACAATCAATCCACTATTTGAATGACCTAATGTTAGTCAAATTGTGCGTCCGTGGTTTAGGCGTTGAGAGTCCGACTCGTAATTCCAACGTACCGTGATCGAAACCCACTGCTGGATGCATGGCGTCGCAGGTCGACCCAGCCTCAAATGGGTACCAAGATGTATGTCTTGGAGAAGTAAAGACAGCCGGCGTAATGCTGACCACATTAATCATCTAGTGCCGATTAGTTTGTAAAAATGTGGGTGCTCTTCCCTTTCGCCTGATGGGTGTAAAGAAGTGAAAAGGGATCTAAAAAATGTTAAGCTAGATTATCTAAACATTGTTGGCACTATTGCTATCGTAATCGCAATCTAGACAGGTGTTAACAAAGCCAGATTTGAAAACAATGAGGCAAATTACATAATTGTGTGGAAAAAAAATTGCACTATATAAAAAATAACAAATAAATGCCCTGCGAATTTAATGAATACTTTAAATCCTAATCATAACATTGATATCTGAATAGGATATTTGTGTGAAAATGACTACTGCTAATTCTACAGGCCCATATGCTTTAGAAAGTAGTTCCACGGAAATTGGACTAAACAGCTCAATAAAATAAGAAAGCAGAAAAACGTGAACAAAACAACACAGCAGGACAGCAGCAGCTAACATGACCACACCAGCAGGACGGCAGCAGCAAAGATGACCACACCAGCAGGACGGCAGCAGCAAAGATGACCACACCAGCAGAACGGCAGCAGCAAAGATGACCACACCAGCAGAACGGCAGCAGCAAAGATGACCACACCAGCAGGACGGCAGTAGCAAAGATGACCACACCAGCAGAACGGCAGCAGCAAACATGACCACACCAGCAGGACGGCAGCAGCAAACATGACCACACCAGCAGAAAACATGACCACATCAGCAGAAAACATGACCACACCAGCAGAACGGCAGCAGCAAACATGACCACACCAGCAGGACGGCAGCAGCAAACATGACCACACCAGCAGGACGGCAGCAGCAAACATGACCACACCAGCAGAACGGCAGCAGCAAACATGACCACACCAGCAGAAAACATGACCACATCAGCAGCAAACATGACCACACCAGCAGCAAACATGACCACACCAGCAGCAAACATGACCACACCAGCAGCAAACATGACCACACCAGCAGCAAACATGACCACACCAGCAGCAAACATGACCACACCAGCAGGACGGCAGCAGCAAACACGACCACACCAGCAGGATGGCTCTAACCGACGCTGCAACACCTGGTGTCGATAAACAGAACCAGAACCCTGAAGGACACAAATGTCACTGTTAGTGTTCAGTTATTGTGTCTGTCTGCCTGTCTGTTTATCAAATGTGTCTCTGGATACATGAATCCATGTATCTTAACTGTTTTCTTTATAGTTTGAAGTTTCGTTATATGCCTCTTATCTAATGTTTTTCCTTGAGGCTGCGACTGGTTCCTCTTCTTCTAGTGTTGAACTAGCATCTTCGCAACTGAAGCTTCTCGTATGTCAGTGTCCATATGACTAGTCACTCCTGTCAGATGTCAGTTCAGCTATGGCATGAAGAGTACGATGATGTTGAATCTTCGTGTCTGTACGAGGTAACCTAGATAAGACCTCAAAGTGACACCAGACAGACCGACCACGGGATAAGTCGTGGCGACTGAGCTGTACGAGGTAACCCAGACTTTACCTCAAGGTGACACCAGACAGACCGAGCACGGGATAAGTTGTGGCGACTGAGTTGTACGCTTGGGAACATTCACGGGCAGCCCGGAGTCAGGGGTGGACGGTAATGATAGAGAAAAACCTCGCTCAGAGAGAGATCGGGGGAGAATTCTCTAGGACTTTGCGGGTGACATCGTGTAGCAGACAGTTAGAGCAGTCTTGTAGCATTATTGTGTGGGTTAGGATTGTTCAAGCAGAGTCCGTTAAAGCAGGTATTGAAGGTTGTAATGCATTGGTTGTGGCGTTAACATCTGCTCGCACACTTTCGACTATTCACTTTGTACGTGTCTCAGGATTCTTGTGTCGCGACCAGCGACTTTGGACAGCGCTGTACGAAAGTGGTTTGGGTTTGTGCCCAGCGCTTATCCACGGGAACAGTAAGGCGTGACTAGTGAATTGTAAAGCTAACACGCCTGTGTTTCGGATAAGGGGAGAATACCGCTCTTGAGGCAAACCTCCAATTATCATTGTAAATTAAAGATTTTGTGTGTGTTCCACGGGTGTTCGGCTTAGTGTGTTTTTTGGGTAGAATTATCTGTTACCGGTCTGCAAAACGAGCCATATGTCATATGTTAGAAAGAAGGTCATTGACACCTCCTCTTCTAAGTCGCGTAGACTGGAGGTTGCTCAAGCGGTTTCTGAGACGCCGCTATGTGTGAAGTGCATTTTTTACTCACTAAACTGCTTCCAGAAGGTTCTAGTATGCTCAAACGTGTTTACTATCTACTTCTCACCAGGGGATTTCTTGATTGCATCAGATATTTCTGCACCTAATATGGAATAGAAAAAGAAATAAGCAAAAGACTAGCAGATATGGAGGCACCTCTCTTGTCAGTCCTGTTGGTCTGGAGCAAGGAATAAGATTCATCGTGGAACCGAATCTGTCCAGCTCATGGATTCAGAAGAAAAAGAGGATGTACAGATGATTATTTGCCCTAAGTCAAATCAGCAAAAAGGCGGTAGAACACAAGACACCAAATGAATTTTGCTTTTATAGATCAAGAGAAGGCTTTTGATTGAGTAAAAAAAAAGAATTACTTTGTGGAGTCCTGGACAATTCTGGAATAAAAAGAACATTGTAAGATTGCACAAGAGCCATTGTTAAAAAAAAAAAAAAATGCCGCCAGAAAAAGAACCGGCCTTACAGACTAGTTTCCGGTAACGAGAGGAGTAAGACAAGGTCGTGTTTTGTGACCTTTGCTTTGATCATATTCATGGACAACAATATCAAGCAAATGTCACCAGCTAGGGACGAACAGGAACATTTGAACACACTCCTGTTGGCCGACGACCAATGCCTACCTGTCCTGGGGGACCTTGACATGCTTGGCCAGCCAGGCGGCGATCTGTTGAGCAAAGCCATGTTTGGTGTCGCTGTTGACGCAGTCCGAGTTGTGGAACAGCCTCAGGTTGAGCATGGGCGCACTGGAGGCAGCCTTTACCATGGCCACGTTGGGCTGGAGTTCAAGGGTCACAAACTGAGAAATAGCCATACCACAAGTTTGTTCAGGCCTGCCACCCAATACTAATTATAATCATGAAAACAGATAGTAATAATGACAGTGTGTTGTCGCCAGGTGGCTTCAACAAGCTTACTGGTATATACATTATGTGGCATCTCCACAATTAAGGCTCGCTACAGTGTACAGCTGCTGGGAATATTAACTGGTGAGGCTCCAATCTCTTCCACGATGTGATTCTCCAACGACTGTCTGAAAATTGCTGGATAGATAGATTCACAGATAGACAGATAGACAGACAAACAATGAACGCAGAATGATAACTACAGAAATTAGATAACGTAGAGTTGAATTCGAGTGTTTACAGATGGTTCAACCAAGAGAGCAGTAAGCGACGGAGGAGGAGGAATATACCTAGAATGTTCAAATGGTTAAAAAAAATCAACCAGGCTGTACCAACAGGTTCATATTCCTCCAATTACAGAGCATGTCGGCATGTTCTTTGGACAACAGCACAGCAAATATAGCAGAGTGGTCTTTCTGACTGATGCTATGTTAGTTCTACAAGCAATTGTGAACGCAAAAGACATCCAGTTTGTAGAATTGACTTCAGTAGAACAGTCTGTACTGCAGTGGATTCCAGGTCACTGTGGCTTGGAAGGCAATGAAATAGCGGACAGATTGGCCAGAAGCGGCAGAGACATGGTACAACAAAATAGTGACTTAAGCCACCAAGAGATGAAAACACTTATACAAGCTAGTATCCAAGAAAGGTGGCTGGATACACACACCATATTCTCTCCCCAAGACTCGCTTCATCGCCTCTCTAGAGAGGGACAGTGTATTATATTCAGACTAAGGACTGGGCACAACAGACTTCGTCAACATATGTTCAAATTTTTCGGTGTAGGAAACATGGAGACGTGTCCCTGCATCGTGGCACCTGAAAATGCTGAGCATGTGCTCCAACACTGTCAACTATATGCTGACAACAGAGACGCAATCTGGCCTGTTCCAACCACACTGAAGACAAAACTGTATGGTACACAAGAGGATATGGATTGCACGATAGCTTTCATAAAGGCTACCGGCCTTCTGATATAAGTTTTCTGACAGAAGGATCGAAGAAGAAGAAGAAGAAGAGAAGAAGAAGAAGAAGAAGAAGAAGAAGAAGAAGAAGAAGAAGAAGAAGAAGAAGAAGAAGAAGAAGAAGAAGAAGAAGAAGAAGAAGAAGAAGAAGAAGAAGAAGAAGAAGAAGAAGAAGAAGAAGAAGAAGAAGAAGAAGAAGAAGAAGAAGAAGAAGAAGAAGAAGAAGAAGAAGAAGAAGAAGAAGAAGAAGAAGAAGAAGAAGAAGAAGAAGAAGAAGAAGAAGAAGAAGAAGAAGAAGAAGAAGAAGAAGAAGAAGAAGAAGAAGAAGAAGAAGAAGAGAGAAAAAGATAACGTAGAAGAGCTGCCGGAATAGAAAGAAGAGAAAACATTACAAATGAAGAACTTGGCAGAGAACTAGGATTGAATCCAGTCACCGAGTTCAGTAAAGAGCAACAGATGAGATGGTTTCGCCATCTGAGGAGAATGTCCTGTTACACACTGCCACAGAGAGTCACACTGAAGAAAATACAATGGACACCCAGCAAAGAGAATATCACGCAGAGGATGGAACAACAGCATCAAGAACAGCCTTAAGGGAATGAAGACCAACTCATACAACACACTGGAAAGAACACACGGAAGTTCCCTGCATCAATCCTAACACTTCGATGAAATAACTGTAGGAAGACAAAAAGAAGAAGATGTTCAGAATTAGAAGTTATGTTTTTTGTTTTTCTGCCAATTGGTGCTGTTTACGATTGATGTTTCAGATAAAGCCTTTCGATTTTATTACATCAGATTTTATCCTAAATGGTTCGGTCTCTCTCTACATCCTAAAAACGGTCAGGAAATATCGTTAAAATAAAGGCGGCCTATGTGGTGACTGCATCTGCCATAAAGTGTCGATTTGTCTATGTGCAATAAGTCTTGTTATAATATCAAAATCTACCCCAATCCACACTCGGCAATCCCATACACACGCAGTCCTCCAGCCCAGCAGCCACCCGAGGGTAGCTCTGTTGTTTCCACGAGAATATTGTTATAATGCCTCCTATCCCGACATGCAATACGGCGCCGATGAGCACACACATTCCGTGTCTAGAAACCAATGGTGGTTTGGAGATCCTTTGTTGAAATAGTAAAAAAAGTAAAGTAAAGATCCCTTTTCACGCCTTTCGGCGCATCGGGCATATTGGGCAGAGCGTCCCATATTTTTACAGACCATCAGCACTCTGTGGGTAATGTGGTCAGCATTACGCTGGGTCGACCTGCGACGTCCCATACCACGATAAAAATCCACGCAGCCTGCAGTGGGTTTCGATGGCGGTATGCTGGCTTACGAGTCGGACTCGCAACGCCTTAGCCACGGACGCCGCCTTTATTGAAATATTATCTGTAAAATGAGTCCTTTTCCACACCTTCATGCGAATTGGGCGTATAGGGCTAGACCTATACTTTATAGACCAATTGACAACAAGATGACCGCCTTTACTTTCCGGGACTTTATGCAGGCGAGCATCTAGCCCCTACACCACAGTGGCCCCGAATTATTCTCAATGGTTTGCTATTTAGTAGATTCTGTACAATCTTTCTGAAATGATTGAGAGGAGAAAGAGAATTCTCTAGAGCTGTATAAATCCTATCATCATGTAGCAGGTCCTTTGCAGAACGTCGCTCTCATCACAGTCTGCCTGAAAGAAACTCGGTCTCTCGCCAGTTCTCCCGCTTCATGTACTTTCATACTCAAGGAGTCACTTATATCCTGTGCTCATATTCGTGTCAGGGGCCCCTGCCCCTCCTTCCTGGTAACATGCCTTCTGCTATAATTTTTTCCAATCCGTCGTGGCGCTTGATATCACCAAAATATTAAAATTTTTGAGAAAGGATGCTGTTTATTAGAAAATCTTCCTTGATGTTCAGATCTTTTAAGATGTCAATATTTCTCATCTTCTTTGTCCAAGATATTCTGAAAATCTTCTATAGCATTTTAGCTCAAAAGCCCCTATTCTGTTTCTGAAGGACTGAGAGATAGTCCACGACTCACATCCGTCTGTAGCCACAGCGAAGATAAATCCTATACTGATATATAACAGTGAAACATGGAAGATAAATCCTATACTGATATATAACAGTGAAACATGGAAGATAAATCCTATACTGATATATAACAGTGAAACATGGAAGATAAATCCTATACTGATATATAATAGCGAAACATGGACGACTGGACTATTGGTGCAATATTATTCGGATGTGGCGGAAATGTGGGTGGTAGACGAATAATGAGAATACCCTGGACAGATAAAAAGAGCAATGAAGATGTCCTGAAAGAAGCTGACTCACGAGGAGAGTTGAGCGCCCACATCAGGGGGAGACAATCTACATTCTTTGGTCACGTCGTGAGAAGAAGAAAACTGGAGTACATCGAGATGGTGTGAAAAGAGCAGAGAGAAGACGAGAGAGAAGATGGACAGTTTGACATCATGGCACTGAAGATACCCTCATATGTGACATGAAAATACAAGAGACAGAAAGTTGGGGACAGACATTACTACCAGCAACACAGGGCATGAACCTAAAGAAAAAGATTCCCCACAATACACAGTAAATGATCACAACCCTTTAGTCTGATCTCGAAAGTTACTCTACAAACTATAAACATTTGAACACGTCATTCAAAGATTCCCAGTACTTGTTTCAGAGATTTCCGCTAATCATTTTCTCCCACTCCCATTTCTCCTTTCTTCCCTCTCTTCTCCGCACGAACACACAGACTCACTTACACAGTGAACCGAACATTACATCTAAACGACTGACCTCAACGTCGGTGTGAAGCAACTTTGCCAGCATGACGGACATGGCGGCCAGAAAACCGTCGTTGATAGACTTGCTGTCCAAATTGGTGGTCACAAAACCGGCGACATGTGTTTGAGACATCTCGGGGCTTCGGGGCAACAATAATTCTTCCTGTTTCACGGAAAGACAAATGTCACACACAAAATACCAGCTGTTGTTGTTGTTGCAGTTATTACTTTTACATGATTATTTTCACTGAACAAATATCATCCTCATCGTCTTCCTCCTCATAATGAAAATCATAATCATCACCATTGCCCTGTTGTGCTATTATGTGTCACGTCAGGCCTCGTGGTCTGTTTCTCTTTTCTGTTCATTCCTGTGCCATCACTTCGAGATTATGAATCCAATCCTGTCTTCTTTAGTCTTTTTCATCAACTATTGTTTAAGGTTGTTTTTTTTTTAACGTCCTCGCCTCCTCTGTAACTCTGTTCCAATTTAAGTGCCTGTTTGATGATTTTCTGCTCGCTCTCCCTAGGATGTGTTCCAGAATAGAGCCATCTTTTTTTGGGTCTTATAACTGCTGAAACAGGAAATGTCCAGGGCATTTCTATTACCCCTCTCCCCTCCCCTCTTGATTGCATTTCATTGTATGTTAATCTCTCTGATCTATCCTCCCACCCTTTGATTGAATTCCTGTATACATTCATTTCTCTTATCTTTTCCCCCTCTTTACTGCATTCCGTTGTATGTTAATTTCTTTTAAGCCTTATCAATGTGTATCATCGCTCGGACATAGTTCATTTTATTAGTGAAGTGCTTGGCACGTTGATGATTGTTAATGTTTTGTTATTTGTGAACATCGCTAAGTTTTGTGTTCAGTTCACTAAAATAAATGCTTAATGTGATAAGTATAGTTCCAGTTGCTTGTTTCAAGATAGAACTCATTCATGCACGTTATTTGCCTAGTTGAATGTAGTCAAGAAGTTAGTTTGTTGTTATGTAACTGACCATACAAATATCCTTTGTCTGGGCAAGAACATTTGATTTCAAGCTCCCTGCGCAGAAAAACCCTTGTCTTTACTGTTCAGCGGGGAGCTATTACTTTTTGTCCTAATCACAATTTTCTTTAGCCTCCTATTTTCCTAGTTTTTTTCTTTTCCCTTCTTCCCGCTAGGACATTCATTTCTCTGATAATTCTCCCTCCCCCCTCCTCCCCCCACCCCCACATTGATTGCATTCCATTGTATGTTCAAATTTTGCTCGGACATTTGTTTTTACATGCATTTAACTTTCATTCCGTGTCTTTAGTCCTTCTGCAACTTTCACTGGTATCTGTTGAAATATGTACACATATCTTACAGACCAAATTGTCTTCCAAATAAAAGAATACAAAAAGCAGCCTTCAAGATCTGTAACAGCAGATCTCAACATATGCGTCGCGACCTTTGTGTGGGTCGAACGACCCCTTCATGTGGGTCGCCTAAGACCATCGTAAAGCACATTATTGCTGAATTTATAAAGTAGCAACGACAATAATTTTATGGTGGGGGTCACCACAACACGAGGAACTGTTTGAAAGGGTCACCACAACACGAGGAACTGTTTGAAATGGTCACCACAACACGAGGAACTGTTTGAAAGAGTCACCACAACACGAGGAGCGGTTTGAAAGGGTCTCAGCTTTAGGAAGGTTAAGAACCACTCAAGATACACCACTCAAACAACAGACCACACACACACACACACACAACACACCATACACACAGCACACCACACACACCCTACACCACACACGCACATACATATTATTCACCTGTGATATCTGCTAAGACACCAGTCCAACAACAGACATTTGTGAGCCTGCTGCCAACCAGCAGGGGCCGAGCCACAAGCCAGGTCTGTGACACACTGCCTGTCCTAGACCTTGTACCACGGCAGAAATATATTGTAGAGAAGGCGGTGTCCTAGACATGTCTGAGCTGGCACAAACAGCCGCTGCTAGAGATTTGCCATGGGTACAACAAATCGATAACCAATACAGGTGAGAACCCGGGCCAATGTTTCTGTCTGTGTGATCGGATCGGGACACAAGTCTGTCGGAGATTTACGTCTAGACACTGAATCATGTGAGTTCAGGCCCATTTAGCCCCCCCCCCACCCCCACCCCGTCCCCATCTCTGCATTATTTTTTCGGGATGCGGGGGAGGGGGGGGGGTGAAGGCTAAGCCCCTCCCTCCCCCTGCCCTCACAAATATTTCAGCGAAACTAAATAGCCCCTTTTAACTATCTATAGACATTTACTTCACAAATAAATGTTTATTAATTTTACATTATTTGAAGTATATTGTCACATTTATTTGCCAGAGATCACATTATTAATAAAGGTTAGTTGTGTATCCTTTACATGACGTTGCAGAATTAACGTCCAGTAGTTTGCCATTGCTTCCTGGACGGCCGGCTTTCTTGATACCACTGTCGAAACCAACGCAAGGCGCATGACCAGCAGCTGGAATCGAACCCGGCATTACGAAGCGTTCGCATCGACTTAGACACAGAGCCGACTTATTATTAATAATAATAATTACATGTTCAGTGGAAAATAAATATAAAAATAGGCTTGATATAATATGACTTGTAGTAACACACATATATAAAGATAATTTCCACACAAACTTCAATGGGTCTCTTAGCCAGTCATAGTCAGGTCAGTGCTACCAGGTGCGGAACATTTCCTTCACCCCACACACACACAAACAAAAATACATTGTTTAGATGCTATTAACACATTTCTGCCATTTTGTTACCCCCCCCCCGCCCCCGCCTCCAGTGGGCAGCACCATGTGCACGCCCCTGCTCTAAGCCCTAGGGGTCCGTCAGCCTCCAAAGTTTTCTTTGTGTCGGCACATCTAGTCTTGTGAACATGTCCTGTCTGTCGGTTTGTTGTGTCCGCACGCACGCGTGTGTGTATGAGGGGTTGAGAGAGAGAGAGAGAGAGAGAATGAGGGAAGGGGAGAGAAAGGGAGGGAGAGAGAGAATGAGAGAGAGAGAGAGAGAGAGAATGAGGGAGGGGGAAAGAGAGGGAGGGAAGGAGGGAGGGAGAGATAGAATGAGAGAGAGGGGAATGAGGGAGGGGGAGGAGAGAGAGGGAGGGAGGGAGAGAGAGAATGAGAGAGAGAGGGGGAATGAGGGAAGGGGAGAGAGAGGGAGGGAAGGAGGGAGGGAAGGAGGGAGGGAGAGAATGAGAGAGAGAGAGGGAATGAGGGAGGGGAGAGAAAGGGAGAAAAGGAGGGAGGGAGAGAGAGAATGAGAGAGAGGGAGGGGGAATGAGGGAGGGGAGAGAGAGGGAGGGAAGGATGGAGGGAGAGAGAGAATGAGAGAGAGAGGGAGGGAAGGAGGAAGGGAGAAAGAGAGGGGGGGAATGAGGGAGGGGGAGAGAAAGGGAGGGGAGGAGGGAGGGAGAGAGAGAATGAGAGAGAGAGGGAGGGAAGGAGGAAGGGAGAGAGAGAATGTGTGTGTGTGTGTGAGAGAGAGAGAGATGTATTCGTGCATACTATTGCGAAGATTGTTGCAAGCACATTAAAAAAAAGAAACTGTTTTTCAGTAGTTGTTATTTAGTTGCATTAGTGCCCTACTGTGTATGTGTGTGCGTGTGTGTGTATGTGTGTGTGTGTGGAGGGGGTGTTAGGGCGGCGAGGGTGGGCTGCGTGGTCTCAAGGCACATTGTTTTTCTCGATTGCTGGAGGTGCCGGGTTCAAGCCCCAGTGAGGGCTGGAATTTTTTCACGTGGACTTCTAGTAATTTCCCACTGGTCTCGGAGTAGTAAGACCGGACGCCCGTGTTTATTGTTGAACATGTTTAAAAAAAATCCCTTGGAAGTTGGAAATCGGAAAGAGTAGCCTACGGCGCTGCTGGGGCAAAATTTGGAGTTAAAAATCTACCCAAAGTATTTCAGGATCCTCGCCGGTGCTACAGAGCACTGCGCTTACAGTCTTCAGACTCAGGTTTAAGTTAGAAGAAGAACGGAGCACTTCAAGGTTACACGCTTGTGCCGTTTAACATAAACATATTTATTGTTCTTTAGTGAATTGTATGACCGGTTTCAGTAATACTCTTCTTCAAATTTTTTCATTTTTGATTTTATCTTTTCTTGTCACACCGGCAGCTCTCCTAAAACATCTCATCTCTGTTGCTACGATCTTTAGTAAGGGTCCATGTTTGGAACTGGTAGAACAATGTTGGCAAAAAAAAAAAAAAACGTCCTAATGAGATTTGCTTTTGTTGCCAGAGGTATCTTTCTATGCGCCAGAAGTGTTGTTAATTGTACCATAACCTGATTTGCTTTCGCACATCGTATGTTGATTTCTCTAAATTCGCTCGTTTGTTTTATTTCTGTGTTATTTACTTTAAATGATATGGTTTCTTTTTCTCTAGGTATTTGTATTTCTAGTATTTGTTTATGTAAATGTATGTATTTGTTTACGTAAATTAAATGATGTATTTCCAGTTTCCGGTGATTACTGAATGAGTGTGCACAGACTGGTGTCTTGTTTCTGTCTTGAACTTGTAGGAGAAGACTAGACCATTGATCCACGCCCCAGGAACTGATCGAGCAAACCACGTGACGAGGCGAGTTACGTACACTTCTCCGTCATGCCAATCTTTCAGAGTTCTAAGGACCCAAACCGCACCCGTTCCCTTCCCCTGGCTTTTGTTTGTCCCCATTACCATTTTTTGGTGGTACGCACTACCAGCACCCTTTTCTCAGTGCTACTGTAATAGACACTCTGTGGCGCGCACTGGCATCTTTAGACACTTGATGATGTGTACCGGTACCCCCTCCCCCCCCCCATTTTCCTCCGAGACCGCCTATATACACACTAGGTCACTTATGACTGGTCGACCTTGAGTCAACCGGCCTTGGTACACGGCCATTTCTAGATATAAATAAATAGCCTGAAGATGGGCGTGCCTTGGTACAAGGTGACGGGGGTGTTCCTCAATGCCGTTGATATCGCGTGTTCTATATTTCAGCATGTCAGAGCTTATAACACTACAAGAACATGCAGAAACTTGGTCTAACATACAATCACCTCCCCCCCCCCCCCCGAGAGTGCTGCAACTTAGGTCACAGGCATTCT